ATTGCTCTAACTCAAGTCTAGCCATGTGTGGATAGTTTGACTCAACATAAGGCTCGTGATGCTCCAAATGTGATTATAAATATGATTTATATTTCTGAGCATCAATGACATATTTATTTGATTATGAAGTCATTCTTTCATTTATTTTCAAGCGTTTGTTCGATTTACTGCACTTACCTTCAATTTTATCACTTTTTTTTTTTACTTTTTATTACTTTACTAATTAGAGAAAGTATGATAGCTAGTAGGGTATTTATGATATGAAGTAAATGACTAGTTTAATTTTACTGTCTATTTTTTAATTTGATGTTATTTTAAGTATAAACTAGTTGAGTCTATATGAGGCTATGATTAATTGCTTAAAGAAATGAGTCACATTATTTCTAGGTAGTGAGAGTTGTTTATTCTATGATGTTATAAGTGTTTTTCATGTCTAATTTCTACTATGAAAGTAGATAAATTATGGAAGAAGGATTGTTTAGTTTTTCTGGCATCAGCTCGGGACAATAGGGTGTATTCTGGTTCAATTTTTGATGTTTTAGCAATTTGGGATTTTTTAATAATTTCCATAAGGAGTTGTCAAGTTTCCATTGAATAGAGATATTAAGTTTTGTATTGATATATTTTTGGGTACAACTCCTATATAAAAGGTTCTATATATAATGGACCTAAGGAACTTTAAGAGTTGAAGGTGCAACTTCAGGAATTAGTTTGTCGAGGTTTTGTCCACCCTAGTGTGTCTCTAAGGGAACATTTATCTTATTTTTGAAGTAGGGAGGTATAATCACTATTAAGAATAAATATCATTTGCTCTGAATTATTGATTTGTTTGATCAGCTTGTTGGATCTTTTATATTTTTCAAGATTGTTTTATGATCTAGATATTATTAGATGAAGATGAGAGAATTTGATGAGATGAAGACTATTTCCAGTACTAAATATGGATATTATGAGTTCTTAATCATGCTTTTTAGGATGACTAATTCACTTGTAGTTTTTATAGATTTAATGAACAAGATATTTAGAGATTATCTGGATCTGTTTATGATTGTATACATAGATGACATTCTAATGTATTATACTTCTATAGAAGATTATGCTAAACATTTGAGGATTATTTTTGAGACTCTAAGATAGCATTAGTTATATGTAAAATTCTCTAAATGTGAGTTCTAGTTAAAGATCATTTCATTTATGGGGCATATAGTGAGCAGAGCAAGTTTTTTCATATATCCCTAAAAATTTCATGCAATTACTAATTGACCAATGCTTATTATAGTACTTCAAGTACGTAGCTTTCTAGGCATGGCTAGTTATTAGAAGAATTTTATGAAGAAAATTTTTTAAATTTCTACACCTCTGACATGACTAACTCAGAAATTAGTAGTTTTCTGTTTGGACTTTTAATTATGAGGATAGCTTTTAAAAGCAAAAAAAATTATTTTACTTCTGAGAGTTTGTGAGGGTTGTTAAACTCTAAAGAATTTGTCCTCATGCTAATAAAAAGGGGGTGAATTGGTATTTAAAAACTCTTTTTTAATAATGAAGGAAAATCTTTTTATAACATGATTTAGAAATGAATTAAATTCACAATAAAAAAATAAATCAAAGTTTTCATCCACATAGTTAATCTTAAGAAAAATAAATGTGAAAAAAAATTAAAAGAAAGAGCACACCAGATTTATAGTGGTTCAGATCAACCTGACCTGCATCCACTCCCCAGAGATACCCACCGAGTATTACACCAAACCTTTACTGACTCTCTTTTAGCCCCCACAGCTAGGAGGAGAATTTCTTACAAAATCACTTCCACCTTGCCCGGTGCGGGGGAGTAGCCGAGTCCTTTGACACAAAAGCGATCTTCTTCTTCCCAAAACTTCCCTCAAAATGAATTAAATCTAATGGTACTAAAGTGCAAGCTTGCTAGAGCAACCGTGTGAAATACCCTCCACACTTCCTTAAAACGACCTCCAAGTATCTTCTCCCTCTCAAACTCCACCCTTTCCTCTCTCCCTTTTAAATTTTCTCCAGAAGAATGAAGATAAAATGGTTATCAAAGTCACTTATATTGTCTTTAGAGAAAGCTTAAATAAAGGGCTTCAAAAACCCTAAAAATTCAATTCTGGTGCCAAAATATCATCATGTGCAATTGTATGATCATTCAGTATGATGTGTAGAATTTGACCTAATAGTCTTGGATTATCTCCGGATAGTTCAATATGATTAGTTCAAATCAATATAGATCGTCTAGTATGATATTCAGATTATCTGGGATGATTAGTTCAATCAAAATGTAGTTCATCTAGGATGAAACATGGGATGACCATAATTCATCTCTATTGATTATTTAGTGTAATCCAGATTACACAATACAATCATAATATCAAAATTAAGCATATTCAATTGACTAATCACATGATTAATTTTAGCATGATTTTTATAGATCATCTAGTACAATGTAGATTGTCCTAGACGATTAGAACAAAATATAAAATTCAAAATCTTGCCTAAATTATGATTGGCGACTATTTTCATGATCATAACTGATCATCCTGGATATTCCAAATCATCCAGTATGATTCGTTAGATTAATTAATAGTACAATACGATTAATTCAAAAATTAAACTTATGATTTTGACTTAATCTCACTCCCCTGAGTGTTTATGTGCATGGTCACCAAGCAAGCATATGCCCTTATAGGATTTGACTCAAGAAATAAAAAATATATCAATGAATATTATAAAAATCCTTACATCATAATATATTTTATCCAATCTTGAGTCTTCAATCATTGTTGAATGGTGCAAGGTATTCTTGAAATGTTAGAACACACATAAATAAATAATACATTATAAATACAAGTAGACATAAGGATGTGAGCCATAATGTTTATTGTCATAAAAAACATAAACTTGTGAGCTCGAGTTACAATAATCTCCCCCTTTTTTATAATGGAAAATATTACTGGCTGAATTTGCAAATTTAAAAAAAAATATTTTCTTCTAATCCCCCCTCAATAAGATAATTATATTAAAAATAGGGAGAATAATTTTTTTTTGTTTTTTTATTTAAAAACATTATAAAAAATATAAAACTTTTAGAACCTAAAATAACATATAAACTAATAAAAATACAAGATGAACATATATAGCTTAAACATAAATATAACTAGTCAAACACATTTTCTTCCATTGATATTATCAAAAAAATAATGGAAACACACAAAGAATAAAATGGAACACGCATAATAGACTCTAATTTGGTGGAGGTGGTGCTGATGTTTAAGAAAAATCAATTAATTTCAACAAATTCTCTCAAAATGAGAAAGTTGCCTCTTAATTTTGTTCAAAAATATACTAAGAAATGAATTGATTGCACTAAGATTCAAAAATATTGGAAATTTGAATTTTATCAACCCTATCTCAGGCTCCTTACAGGTTAAAGCCATTTTTTAAATAAAAACTAATTCAAAAAAAGAATTAGAGAAGAAAAAAATATCTTTTTCAATCTTCTTATATGAAATAAATATATAATAGAGTATCAATACAAAAAGGGGGAGTCAGGAATCATGATTTTCAAACTCAAGTATCGAAAGTATCAATTAGTCACATGGGTTTTCTAAGATTTAAAAATACAGTAAAGGTAAATTACCTTATTGTGGGTTCCTTTTTGCCTTTTTATCAGTTTTTGGCTCACCTTATGCATCTTTTAATTTTGATATACATTTGTGCATCATTCAATTTTGGCGTACATTGCAAATATTTTTATTTTGGGCTCATTTTGTTCCTCTTTTTTTTTTTAATTAAAATTAGTGTCTTATCTCTAACTAATTTGTCTTCTAATTTATTATTAATTTTATCAGAGAATTTTATTAATTTATTATTAATTTGTCTTCTAAAAATTTATCTTGAAACTTAATCCGTTAAAATGCTCCTCGAATAACCTGAAGAGGCTGAAGCGCCAAAACTTCTGGAGCAGGCAAATTTTCTCATTTTCTAGTACCTTTACAAATTTAGACAGCAGATGATTGATAAAGTGATGGCTGTAGGTTCTAGAGTAGAATATCAAAAGAACACATGCCGAGTAGAATAGCAAAGAACATATGCCTCATCTCCGTACTTATGAGGAGCTTCTCATTGAAAATTGCTGAAATTTTTTAAGAACAGCGAAGTCTAGTGTTGTCAATTCATGCTTTGATTTGCCATTTCCGAGAGCTAAACTAGAAACTTAGCTGACAATGCTTTTGGAATATATAGATTTTTAGAAAATTGAGTAGAGAGGTCCATCTTCAGATTCTTTTACCCGGGAATCAAAATGTTAATTTCAAGGGGAAATAAATGATGAAGTCAATGAGACTGTTTGCTTGGAGGGTCACTATGACATGACACTCTCATTGGTAACTCTTCTTGTCTGAACTATCCAAAGGACTATCTGTCAAAACAGTATAGAGCGTCCGTACTGTTCTCTTTGTAAGTAGTTATTGAAGAGCAAAACTACTCCCTGATTGATTTTGTCGAGGATGATTTGAGCCTGAAGATGACCAGGTTTGAATTTTCTGTTGTGCTTAAATCTGCAAATGGCTGTCAGTTTTTTCATTGGTATGTAGTTGCCATCATCATTTAAATAATATTTCAATTAGATTGAAATACCTAAGATCACTGACCTCTTGTATGCCACCACATGTGTAGTTAAAAAAAATAGTAGTCAAGTTTTTACCTTGCCTATGAAACTTTCTTCTAATAGACTCAAAAGGATTTATAACCTGGTTGACATTGTATTGGGCAGAATGGAAATAAATAAGAATTAAGAACTGCGTTGACAGCATTCTTTATAGTTTGAGCTCGCAATCACAATTAGGATGTATTGGGGGTGTAAAACATCTGATCAGTATGTTCAATAAATTGTGCCATGGCAACACAATTAATTGAGCTGATATCAAGTAATGATTAAGATAGCCGTGAGTTATTGGGAGAAGTGGCATCTCTCAAGTTAAATGTTTATGGGTGATGCACTTGTGCATGCATACCTTCGTAACAGCCAACGCTGCCCATTCTTAAAGCTGTCCTTTAAAATTTCCGTTCTAAATGTGCTTGAGAGTATCAACTGTTTCAATACCCCGGTAATACTAACATTTGATAATGCATATATGCTTAATTTGCTTGATCTAGGCTAGATAATTCGTCCTTTTCTTTTACCCGAAGTATCCAACAATCTGTTTTGATCATTTGGCAGTGAGAGATCAAATATTGAGATTTAATGTTCATGTTCAAGCTCCGATCAATTCTGGAGCATTCTATTTTGCCTGCCCGCTTTATTGTTTATTTGCATTCTGCCTGTTAATCAAAAGAGAATAATTACTTGCTAGAATGAATGCTGCATTTTTTGCACTAAGCTAGTTGATAAGGTTCATATGACATATTATCATGTTATAATGTGATCTAATTATAAGTGTCTATCCTGTAGAATTGATGCCTAGAATCCAAACTTTGAAAGGTCATGAACGACCTAAGCAATTCTTTTGTCAGCCTGAGACTTTTTGGATTCAATTTGATTTGGAAATGTGTTATGTAGAAATGTTAAGTTGGTTGTTTAGAAATCTTTCATGATATGTGATGCTTTCTGCTCCTGATGCCTGGTAAATGACACCTGGGAAGAGCCTTAAAGATTCTCTCTTATTTTAAAAGTCAATATCAATATTTTTTTTAGTAAAGATATTTGATGTTATTTTTTTTTTTCGTTTGCATGAAGATTGATTGCTTGTCAGAATTGTTTAGTTCTGGAGCTTTTGTTAATATATGTGGCTCATTTATAAGGTTGAAGAATATCTAGAGAGGAAGTGTTGATGATGGATGTTTAACCGGCTATTCTTAACCATCCAAAATGGTTTTCTTACCCTAAAATTTATGCATTTCTGGTACAGGTAGCATCAGTTGACTTTCTCCTAGTGGAATCTCCCTTGGATGTTATCAGAGTATCGGGGCCTCACATATTACCCAAAGTTGCAGAGCGGCTAAGTCCTGTTTCTGTTCTGGAGACTCCATCAGAAGATGGGAAATCAACTCCACAATGCTTGGAAAGATTCTCTGCAGATCTTCAGGGTACATTCTAACCCTCCGATGCATGCTTTTGACTAGAGAAAAATCAGCGAACTTCAATCTAATATTACTTAAAAGCATCTATTAACTTTTGTAGATATTCAAAGAAAACTTAACTTTCTGGAGTTGGAAACTGTTCATTCTGGTGATGAGCATTCGAAACCTCTTATTTTTGATGATGAGGTTAACAAGAAAATTTTGAATTCATTAAAGAATGAGAGTGAAAGGGATTTCTTGTACTTGCTAGACATACTTACTGTCTCGGGTATATATGCTGCCAGCCAAAATAAGTTTTTTGATGCATGCTACTCACCGGATTATCCAGTATTCCCAGATGTATTTGACAAACTTGAGAGTGAGTACCATATGGCTAATTCATGGCCTAGATCAGATAGGAAACTTCTGTTTGATCATATAAACTCCATTCTAGCGGAGGTCCTTGCCCCATGCATGGATTTTCATCCGTGGGTGAAGTTGAAGAGAAGAAATTCTTGTGGTCATGGAAGATTGGTTGATGAGTCGTGGCGCCTTTTAGTTCGACAACAGAAGGAACTCAGTAGGGGTAAACCAGACGAGAAGGTTCTAGATACCAGGTGGTTTTATATAGATGATCACATGGACATGATTGGAAGAGAAATTGAGAGAATGCTGAAGGATGACCTCTTGAATGAACTTGTTTCTGAATTTGTCTTGGGATATCCAAACTCTATCCATGGCTTCTGAAAATTATAACTTAAAATGGAATTACTTGTTCCAAGATTGACTTGGGTTATTCCCATGCTAATGTGCTCTCCCGTCAAGTTGCAAGGAATTTCATGGCCTGCAGGCTCACTTCATAATTGCCAGATGATAGAGAACTAACAAAGCTGCCAATATTTTTAAGCGTCTTGTTGCTTGATACCAGAGGTTTTACTTTGAGGTCCACTGAGGATAACTCCAGCGGTGTTGTGGTGAGTATAATGAAGTGCTTGTGCCTTTGTCTGAACGTTTAAGAGGTTATTCCCGATTCTTATATCTTTTTATTTGTATTCAGAGTTTCTAATGATGAAATGCCAGATTCGGCAAAGACAGTTGAAAGCTCTAGTTATGTAGAGGTGGCAGCGCGGTGTCTAAGCTTGCCGAGGATCAGTATGATTCATCTTTGAGCAGAGTGAGCAGAGTCCATTTTGTTTAAAGATCGGCTATTGCACTAATGATCGGTTACCGTCGAACCCTAACGAAGGTGCATTTCTTTTTTGTGCTTCACTTGTATGTACATAATCTATTTTGGGCTTCGTTTGGGACGGCTTATTTACTGCTTCTTAAAATGACTTTTTAGTACAAAATTTTTAATTTTTATACTAAAAAAACTGCTTTAAGAAGCGGCAAGAAAGCTGTTCCAAACGAAGCCTTAATTTACACAGTTCCACCATGCAACTCGCAATGATTTGTTTTTTGAACCTTAAATTTTAAAAAATTGGGTAAGTTTTGCTTGGAACTTATTTTGTTTCCTTTTATACTAGTAGTATTTAATATTGGCTTGAATTTTATTTATATATTCTGGAGAAGTGAAATATAATAATCTTAAGATATTATCATCATGCTTATTTAGTGCTTCAGCCTTAGAGGTGACAAATATGTATCCAAGAAGGCGAGCCACCACCCTCTTTCAAGGCCACGTGAAGTTATGACTCCACCAAAGTGGATTACTACAGCACTTTAGGTTATTAAAACTTGGAATCTCTTGCTTTGTCAAAAAGTGGAGATTCAGTTGCATTTGCTGCAACATAAAAATCCAAAAGCTCTCTTTCTCTTCCTACCAGCCAATGGATGGGACCGCACCATGAACAATTATTACGTCCTCCGACTGGACGCAGAGGAATGTCCGATCGGAGGCCAAATCCCGCCAAAAAACAAGTTGTACCGAGCAAATACCAAGCAATACCAAACAATAACGAGGAATACCATCATTTGAAGACCCAATACCGAGTTATACCGAGCTAAATCTAGAAATACCGAGTTATACAGAAGTTGTACCGAGTTTTTCCTAGAAAAACTCGGTACAACTCAGTATTTCTCGATACAGCTCGGTATAACTCTGTATTGGTCTTCAAAAAGCGGTATTTCTCGTTAATATCAAATAATACCTAGTTGTACCAAGCAAATACCGAGTTTTTTGACGGGATTTTGACTCCAACCGGATGTTCCTCTACGTCCTTACACTGGACGTAATAAAAGTTCCCGCACCATCACTTTCCCATTGTATTCATTCGCTTTTCCGTACCACCATTTTCTCCATCATTAGTAATATAATTAGCCTCTGAGTGTCTCACTTTTCTAAAACTTTTATTGAAATGTTCATAAATTGATGATACAGATATGTGGACAAATGTCGAGTGTATAAAGTCATGATAGTCCATATAGCACAACGCCTTTCTTCACATTGTATCTGTTATACTCATATTCTAACATCTTGTAGCCTTCCAAAAATGTCATGGTATAAACTCACCATCCCAGCAGTCAGTCCTAGATGTTAATTATATTGAAGGCTTTAAAGCAAGCTAACTTGCCTTGCAAGTGCATTAGTCATGATTTCAGGGTTGCTGTGGGAGCTAAGTGCGCAATAACTATAATATAAAACTCCAACCTTGACACTATCTGCTTCCACCTATTGTACTAAACCACAAGCCTACCGAAAAGAATGTAGTAAATCACTAAATGGTGATAGCTATTTGATATTAATTAATCAAGCATATTCAACGCAATAGACTTACTGAGGGGATAGTGACTTTGGGCGATCAAATCATTAATAAGAGTACACGTTTTACATATCTTTGATCTATTGTTCAGAGTGATGATGAAATCGATGGTGATGTTATCAGCAGAATTCAAATTGAATGGTTGAAGTGGAGGAATGTACCGGGTTTGTTGTGTGATAGAAAAGTCCCCCTCAAACTTGAGGGAAAATTCTATAAGATGGTGGTGAGATCTGTAATGTTTTATGGTGCCGAATGTTGGTCATTAAAAAAGAAGCATAATACTAAGTTAAGTGTTGCAGAGATGAGGATGCTTTGGTGGATGAGTGGATTTACCCTTAGAGATAGGATACGAAATGAGCATATATGTGAAAAGGTTGGAGTAGCTCCAGTGGAAGATAAGATTAGAGAGAGTCGCCTTAGATGGGTTTGGTCACATTAAACGGAGGCCTTCCGATGACCCGGTTGAGGTATTAGATTTGACTTATGTTAAGAAAGATAGAGGTAGACCTAAAAAGATTTGGTTAGAAAATGTTAGAAATTATCTTTCTTTATTAGATTTAAATGAGAATTTGACTTTAAAAAGACAAAATGACGAAAAAGGGATTCATATAGCCGACCCCACATAGTGGGACAAAGGCTTGTTGTTGTTGTTGTTATTGTTATTATAAGTGCCCTGCATGTTCCTTTCAGGTTTAGTTACTGAGGGAAGAAGTTTTACACCATATTTTAATACAAAATTTTGTTCTGTTAATGTAGTTCATTTATTATAGGGATTTATTATGAATATTCAATCAGTATTTATTAGCTGAAGATTTAGAAGGGATTTGAATTGATTAACAACGCCATAGTGCTTGTGCTTTTTTAATGTTTTTTAGATTAATTTTATTAGTACAATCAGTCAAATGCGGTCAGCACTATTTTGGTTCCATCAAATCATGATCCTTAAAATTCGAGTCAGTTTATGTTAACCCGTTAAAATAACAAAAACGTCTTGATTGGTTGTAGATAAGTGGATTAAAGTTGATCCATAATCACCCATGAACAACAATGATTACAATATTAGAAATGGTCTTTCTTTATTAGATTTAAATGAGAATTTGACTTTAACAAGACACAATGGCGAAAAGGATTCATGTATCCGACCGCACGTTGTGGGACAAAAGATTGTTGTTGTTATAAGCATATTCAATGCCCTGCATGTTCCTTCCAAGTTTAGTTACTGAGGGAAGAAGTTTTTAGAGAATTTCTTATTTGAGAAATGGTGATTTGTTATTGATAGGTTCTTGTAATTAGTACAATTGAAGATAAACACCATACTTTGTTCGGTAAATGTAGTTCATTTATTATAGGGATTTATTATGAAATATTCGATCAATATTTATTAGCTGAAGATTTAGAAGGGATTTGAATTGATTAACAACGCCATAGTGCTTGTGCTTTTTTAATGTTTTTTAGAATAATTTTATTAGTACAATCAGTCAAATGCGGTCAGCACTATTTTGGTTCCATCAAATCATGATCCTTAAAATTCGAGTCAGTTTAAGTTAACCCGTTAAAATGACAAAAACGTCTTGATTGGTTGTAGATAAGTGGACTAAAGTTGATCCATAATCACCCATCAACAACAATGATTACACCCATAAAAGTATGGCCAACAGTTTAATAAGGGAGGTGGTTACTCAGTGGTACTTGTAATGATCACGCCAATAACATAAAGGCTGCCTATCTTATAAAGTTTTTTTTTTTTTTTTAAACAATCAATTTTTATCCATTAATGGAAGAAACTAACAAAGTACTTTGATTTTTTTGTGCGGGGGGCATTTAGACTAAGGTTTTATTTGGGACGATTTTTTTATTGCTTCTTAAAACTGCTTTTTAGTACAAAAATTTTTATCTTTATTTTAAAAAGTTGTTTCAATAAGCAATAAAAAAGCCGTCCCAAACGAAGGTTTCATTTGGGACGGCTTTCTTGTTGCTTCTTAAAGCAACTTTTTAGTATAAAAATTAAAATTTTATACTAAAAGCTGCTTTAAGAAGCAACACAAAAGCCGTCCCAAACGAAGCCTACATAAGATAAACTCACACGCACAATAAATGTATAGGATTTGAATTTAAAATTTTCTAGTTGATATTTATCAACCAATAGGTTAAAATAACTAGATAAGTTGTGCAAGTACTTTATTATAATTTATAAGAAATTTTACAAATCTTAATAAACCTTACTTTTTAAAATTTTATGTGCTTAAAATTTAACATTAATTAAACATTTAGATGTGCTTAGAAGTAATTTTTATTATGTGTTCCAATTTAAAGTTTTATAGAAAAATATCAGCATAGTTCTTTGTTGTTTTATGATAAAAAAATATTATCTTTACAATTGAGGAATTCGTGGTTTTCTGAATTAGGTTAGTTTCTTATTATACAAAATAGCAGATTTTTTCATTTTTTAAGCAAAAATTTATTTGGGATTGTGTATTTTCTTTTTTTTTTTCCTTTTGCAAATCACTGTACCATTCTATTGAGGAAGCATGCCTCCTTGACTAAATTCAATTATAATTGATACAGATAATTGAAATCAAACAAAAAGTTAAGTTAATTAATATTACATAAAAAATTTAACCTAAATCTAACATTTAAAATATAAAATCTATTAAATAATGGTAGATCAAACATAGAAAAATATAAATTTTAAGAAAAATAATGGATCTACAAAATAAATTATTAACCTAATTTTTTAACATGAAAAATCATATAGTAATAATCATATAAAACCAATCGATTTGACTTCGATGGATGTGGGTAAAATTTATAAATATATAAAATAAAACTTATATTTTTTAGCTATAACTTATCAAATATTTTTTATTAATTATTGACTTATTGGTTATTGCTTACATGAATGAATCAGGTTAAATCAAGAAGTAATTTACACATCTCAAATCATAACTCCTATCTTTGCCTTGGCCGCCCTGAAACTACTTCTCACTTGATGTTTGAATGTGACTACTCATTTTAGGTCTTGACAAAATTAATCCCACAATTCCATAACTTCTTCTTAAGACCCACTATCTCTCAAGCTTTACCTCATATCGATGGTCTTTCGATTGACCATAACCTCAAAAATGGCATTCTCCTCATCATTCATGCTACGATCTACTTCCTCTGGAATGAACGCAATAAGAGGAGATTCAATGAGAGGGTTGTTTGTGCTATCACTCTCTCTAAGAAGATTACTATAGTCATATACCTTAAACTTGATAGATGAAAATGTGGGAATTTTATAAAGGAGCTGGATTTGAACTACAGATGATCAAATTTTTGTTGGTTTGTTTTGGCATCGATGTATGAGATTACTCTGGAATTAGTTTTTGGATTTTTGTTGCCCGTCTATAATATATCATGGTTGTTTTGTTGGTTTTGAGAGCCTGGGCTCGTTGGTGACAGTTATGTGTTCCCCGACCTTTTCGTGTTATTTTGAAATCCGAGTTGCCTTTTTGTTGTCTTATAGCTGCTTTCGATACAGTTTCGATTTTGGATGGGCAGGTTTTTGGGTAGTGGATAATGATGACGCCTGTCATCTCCTTTTCGATGGTCTTCGAGCAACCAAATGAGAATTTGAGTTTCTACTTATGATTATTTCAGCTTTCACTGAGTCCTACCCAGACAGGGTTTCTATATGTTTTTATTCTTCTTATACTGGATGTACATGTTTTCTTTTATAATTTGTCATGCCTTAATTTTTGTTGATGGCTGATTTTTTATTCTTTTCTATACACCCATGTTGTCTTTATAGAATC